CCACTCAGTCCCTGGCAACCACTAATCCACTTTCTACCTCTGGATTTACCTATGTTCGGTATCTTTTTAAAGATTCATTTATTTGAGAGGAAGAGCACGTGAGCACACACAAGTGTGGGGGGGAGGGGCAGAGGGAGAGGAAGAAGCAGGCTTCCCGCAGAACAGGGAGCCGGATCTGGAGCTCGATCCCAGGACCTGAGCCAAAGGCAGGCACTTAACCGACTGAGCCACCCAGGTGCCCCTACCTGTGTTGGATATCTAATCCAGGTGGAATCCTAGAACATGTGGCCTTTTGTGTCTGGCTTCTTTGACCTAGCATGACATTGTCAAGGATCATCCATGTTGTAGTGGGGCCGGTCATACATTCATTCCTACACCGGCGATCAGAACACAACTTCATTATAATTACAGGCCTTCTCCATCTGACCACAAGCAGGCTGACCTAGCCTGTCCTAACCAGCAGACCAAGCTCCTAAAAGCAGAGCTTGTCTCACTCATTCAACTATGCCCAGCACGTTGCCCAGAGCCTGGAACAAGGAAACTTCTCAGTCAATATTGAGAGATTGAATAAATGAACCATTCTGTCCCCTGCTTCTTGATTTGGAATGTGCAGAAGCCCAGGGAAATGCAACGGAGCCCCAGGAACTCATTAATCTATGACATAACTTTTTTAACATCTATCACTACGCATAGTTATAAAAAATTTTTTTTCCTTACAACGCGAGTTTTTAAGATCTGCTCTCTTAGCAACTTTCAAATATACAATACGGTGTCACTAACTATATGACCAGGCTCTACCTTGTATCTCCAGGATTTATTTATGCCTGTAACAGGAAGTGTGCACCTTTTGATGACTTTAACTTATCTCCTAGCTCTGGCAATCACTGAACTAGTCTCTGTATGGAGGAGCTCAGTTTGGGTTGTTTGGGGTTTTTTGTTTGTTTGTTTTTGTTTTTGTTTTAAGATTCCATGTATAGGGGTACCTGGGTGGCTCAGTGGGTTAAAGCCTCTGCCTTCAGCTCAGGTCATGTTCCCAGGGTCCTGGGATCAAGCCCCACATCAGACTCTGCTCAGCAGGGAACCTGCTTCCTCCTCTCTCTCTCTCTGCCTGCCTCTCTGCCTACTTGTGACCTCTGTCAAATAAATAAATCTCTTCTAAAATTAAAAAAAAAAGATTCCACTTATAAGTGAGCTCCTAAGGTATTCATCTTTCTTTGTCTTATTTCACTTAACATGATGCCTTCAAGACCCATCCATGCTGTTTCAAATGGCATGATTTCCTTCCTTTTTTAAGATTTTATTTATTTATTTGAGAGAGAGAGAGCATGAGTGGGGGTGGGGTGCAAAGGGAGAAGCAGACTCCCTGCTGAGCAGGGAGCCCCATGTGGGGCTCAATCCCAGGACCCTGGGATCATAACCTGAGCCAAAGGCAACTGCTTCACAGCAATTGTAAATAATACTCCGAGGAACACGGGGGTGCAGGCACGTTTTTGAGTGAGTGTTTGTGTTTCCTTTGGATAAATATCCAGAGGTGGAATTGTTGGATCCCATGATAGTTTAAATTTTTGGAGGAAGCTTCATACTGATTTCCATAGTGGCTAAGCCAATTTACATCCCCCCTGGCAAATATTTTTGATTGCCAATTTCATTTCATATTTTGAGGGGAAACTCATCTTTGTATTATAATGAACAAGGGGTGCCTGGGTGGCTCCACTGATTAAGCGGCTGATTCTTGCTTTCGGCTCAGGCCATGATCTCAGGGTCTTGAGATCAAGTCCCACACCCAGCTCTGCACTGAGCAGGGAGTCTGCTTGTGATTCTCTCTCTCTCTCTCTCTCTCCCTCTGCCCCTCCCCCTTGCAATGCTCCCTCTCTCAAATAAATAAATAAATCTTTAAAAAATTAAAAATAAAATGAACAAAGATATGTTATGGAGTCAAACAAGAATTTTTAATGCCAAAATAAGACTTCAAAGAAATCTCTGTCAAAGAGCCATTTTCTAAAGCCCCTAGATGAGAGGACACATTTTCTTTCTCTCTACAGGAGAACTTGAAAAGCAGTGCATTAGGGGTGCCTGGGTGGCTCATTTGGTTAAGTGTCTGTCTTTGGCTCAGGTCACGATCTCAGGGTCGTGGGATCCAGCCCCGCAACAGATTCCCTGCTCAGCAAGGAGTCTGCTTCTCCCTCTCCCTCTGTCCCACCTCCCCACTGCTCATGCTCACGTTCCCTCTCTCTTGCTCTCTTGTGTGCACGCTCTTAAATAAATAAATAAATAAATAAATAAGTCTTTTTTAAAAAACTGATCTGGAGTATAATTTTCTGTGTGCAGGCTTGCAGTTGGTGGCCTCTGACCTAAATAATTGCCTCCAACTAACCACGGACAGTCTCCAAGACATAGTCCGAGGTCATTCTATCATCACATGCTGCCCTGTGTTCTCATGGAGGAAACATATCGATCATTCAGTGCAGCCACTCTTAGATGGATGGGGGTGCCATGGTGAGGTGCTAGGTGTAGGGTCTCCTGCAGAGGCCAAATTTGGAGTTTCAGTTAAAGGACTTTTCACATCCTGGGTCACCCCCAGGTCCCTGCCAGTCCTGCCCTCAAGTTCACACATTCTACTTGTCCCATCAGCCCCCAGGATGACTCAGAGGAGGAAATACTTTGAGAGTTCCAGAGGGGTCTTTGAAATTTAGGAGAGAGAGAGAGAGAAGGACATTTCATCATAAATGCTAGCCCAATACTGTGTCTATGTAATATAATATAGTCGTGGCCACGACAATTATAAGACATGAAAAAAAAGAAAGAAAGTAGAATGTTGTTTGCAGTAAATGTCTGTAAGTCTTTCCTTGTTAATGAAGCTGCCTTTTGGATACAAGTTATAGAAAATCCAAGTCAGAGCAGCTTAAAACAATCTAGACAATATGCAGATTACATTAATTACAGATCAATAAGGAAACGGTGACAATCTGATTTGTTTTTTAAGTGAAAGACTTGAAAAAGTAAAAAATAAAAAACTGAAAGACTTTAACAGACTTCACAAAATATCCAAATGGCCAACATGCCCTGAAAAAGAATCCTCAATGTCATGGCCAACAGAAACTTCCAAATTAAAAACACGAGATTACACTCGGGAGACAATACAAGGAGATACACAGCTGAGTTGTCAAAGTGGAAAATTCTGGCAATAGCTAGGGTCAGTGAGGAGGTGAAGGAACTGGAACTCTCAAGCGCGACCAGGGGAGGATAAAAATGATAACGACTACTTCGGGAAACTCGTTGTATCTGCTACAACTTAGCATCTGGCCAGGTTTATAACCAACAAATACGGATGTATATGGTCACCGAGAAACGCGGACAACATAATATGTGATTCTATTTATGTAAAATACAAAACTAGAAAAAATGCATCTGTGCCATTGAAAGTCAGGAATGCGGCTACCCTTGACAGGATAGAGTGACTTGGAGAGAGCAGAGGACACCCTTCCGGGGTTGCTGATGGTGTTCGTTTATCGGATTTGGGTGCTGGTTACACGACGTGTTCAGTTTACAGATTTTCCCTTATAACTTGTTCACTTCTCATAATACATGTTGTATTTCACTTTAAAAATGAAGAAAAGGGGGGGGCACCTGGGTGGCTCAGTGGGTTAAAGCCTCTGCCTTCGGCTCAGATCATGATCCCAGGGTCTTGGGATCGAGCCCCGCATCGGGCTCTCTGCTCAGGGAGCTTGCTTCCTCCTCTCTCTCTGCCTGCCTCTCTGCCTACTTGTGATCTCTCTCTCTCTCTCTCTCTCTCTCTCTGTCAAATAAATAAAAAATATCTTTAAAAAAGAAAAACAAGTTGCAGAGGGATAGGTTTCAGGCATGGATAGATCCCAGAAGGGTGTGATGACATCAGGACAATGGCTTGGTTCCTCTGTGATTAATTGTCTCAGCTCTGCTTTCCTCTGGATGTGGAATTCACCCTCAGAATGCTTTCTCGCGTGGTTTCAAGATGACCTCTTGCAGCTCCCGTATTTATTCTTTCACATCTGGGAGGAAAGAGTATATTCCTCCTAATTTAGCCTCAAATATCGGGAGCTTCTTTCTAATTGGTCTGAGATCAGGTATCCACCCTTCACCAATCTCTGAGCAGGGAGATGAAATACAGTGATTGGCTTAGACCTGGGTTACCTAGGTGACCATTTCTGAACCAATCACTGTGACGGGGGGTGGGATTATGCTGATTAGTTCCGGCCATTCGTTGACCCACTCTGAAGCTGGGAGTTTGGAGCATGTCGATCCAACTTTAACTTGATGGCTTTTATTACTGGGGTAGGGAGGGGAGAAAAGGACATTGTGAAGGTGATCACATGCGCAGATCATTTCTTTTTTCTCTTTTAAAAATATATTTGAAAAAAATCACAGACTTAACAGGAAAGTTGCAAGTACAGTACAAAGAACTCTTTTCCCTCCTGAAACATTTTCCAAGAAAATTGCCAGCATGGTGCCCTGAATGTTGTTAGGACAAGGACATTCCAAGGTAAAGAGACTCTTGTTCCCTTTGGTTCATAAGTTTTATGTCAGACAACGTATAGCTCACATTCTTCCACAGACTCATGGATTTTTATTTTATCGAGAAGTTTATGATCTCAGTTTTAACACTGATGCTCAAACTGTCCCAGATTTGGCCAGTGGGAGCCCTCCAAGCTGGCTCTCTGTCCTTCCACCTGTTCTCATTATTCTTTGAGCATTTCCTTACTCTCTGTCCGCCCCCCTCCCCCCCCCGCCCAAAGATGCTCCAGGCTCTACTTGTATCTTCTCTGTCCCCTTTCCCCTGGAATCAGCCATTTTCTCAAAGGAGAAAGGAGGGTGCTTTTGAAGGCAGGTGGCTGACCCCTCACCTCTGAGTGACCCGCTGGACTCTGATTTCAATGCGGCTGGCCCTGGCCAATGGCAGAGGCGATGCTCCAGCGGTTGCCATGGAGACTTCTGGGCAGCAGAGCAGCGGAAGGAGGCGGTGACGTCACTGCTGGAGCAAGTGCAGCGGCCACATCCTTGTCTTCGCCGGGGGCCACAGGGCACTGAGGGCAGCCCCGGGACCAGCCGCGAGTGACCAGCCACCCTGCTTTCTGAGCCCCCATCCACGACACCCCGGTAACAGCAGCTCCAGGGAGACAGACCCGCCATCCCAGATTTGCTGAGGCTGCCAGGACGGGTGAGACCTCTGGAGACCATCACCAAGAAAGGGGAAGTGCATCTTTATACCCTCCTTGGTGCAGCCTTGCCCAGACTCGGGACCCAAGAGCCAGCTGGCAGACACCACCTCTGTTTCACTGTGCGTAAGTCCCTGGGAATTCCCAAGAGCCTTCTCGGGGTAGGTTACAGAGAGCTGGACACCGCAGCCCTGTGGGCAGGGCCAGGGGCATCCTCCGCTAGAGGGACAAATCAGGCCCTTGAGGCCTCCCTCTTACTGAGCCTTTGGGAAGGGATCGCGGCATCCTGGATAATTTTGTGCATCCCCGAGGCAGCTCAAGTGTGCACAAGCAGGCATACTGCTGCCTCCGGGAGCTGGGCAAGATGCTCTTCGGGGTCAAGGACATTGCTCTGTTGGAGCACGGGTGCAAGGCGCTCGAGGTGGACAGTTACAAGTCCCTGATGATCCTGGGAATACCGGAAGACTGCAACCATGAGGAGTTCGAAGAGATCATACGGGTCCCTCTGAAGCCTCTGGGCAAGTTCGAAGTGGCCGGGAAGGCCTTTCTGGAAGAAGACAGATCCAAGGCAGCCATCATCAGGCTGGAGGAAGACATCAATTACACCGTGATCCCCAGGGAGTTCAAGGGCAAGGGCGGCATGTGGAGAGTGGTCTACATGCCCCGGAAGCAGGACATTGAATTCCTGACCAAGCTGAACCTCTTCCTGCAAAGCGAGGGCAGGACGGTGGAGGACGTGGCCCGGGTCCTGAGGCAGGAGCTATGCCCAACAGTGCCGGGCCCCCGAGAGCTTCCTGCCAGAAAGTGCCGGGCACCCGGGCCCGGGGAGAAGCTGGGGGCCGGGGCCCCTGCGGGCGCTGACGGGGCACCAGCTCTGGACTCCGTGGAGAAGCAGAGCAAGGCTGGAGATGACAAGAGAGGCAAGCGAAAACACAAGAAAAGCCGACGGCGGCACCATGCATCTGACAAGAAGCTGTGAGGTGAGGCAGGGAGGGTGCGAGGGGCAGCAGGGTGAGGGGAGGGGCCCTCTGAGTGGGTGCAGGTGATGAGGGGAAGGGGCGGAGGTAGGCTTTGAATTGGTCTGGGGAAGTGGATTGAGTGTGGAGAATGTGGGGGAAGTGGGGAGTAGGACTCCAGTGTGTGGGTCACTGTGAATGAGAGTGAGTGTCAACTGCGTGACCGTGGGCAACATCTGACTAATGTGAATAAGGGGGGCATTGGGATCTGAGTTAACTTGTGGGGTACATCTGAGTGATGGGGGTAATGCCTGGTTGAGCATGGGCCATTCATTCATTCATTCATTCTATGGCTATCTATCACACATCTCCTGTGTCCCGGGTGCTTCTAGGAGCTGGGAGAAGGGAACAAATCCAACACAGATCCCTGCCTTCATGGCACTCGTAGAGACTGGGGAACATGTGAGTTACTGGGGTACCTCTGAGTGGGCATACGGACTGTTTGAGTAGATGTGGGTAATATCTGATTGGGCGTGGATCACTAAGTCATTCAACAAACATTTTCTGAGTGCCCACAGTGTACCAGGCATGGTTTCAGGCACCGGGCGAACTGCAGGGGACAAACAGACCCAAATTTTGCGCTTGTGGCACTTGGATTAATATCTGAGCAGGTGCGGGGAACATCTGAGTTACTTGAGTACATGAGGGAGCACGGTACCATTTGCATGTGTGGGTGGCATCTGAGTATGAATGTAGTATATGAGTTAGAGTGGGTAGCATTTGAGTAGTTGTGGGCCACGTGTAGCTGTGGGGGCAACACCTGAGTGTGCGTGTGAGCATTATCTGAGTGGGTGAAGGTAACTTTTGAGTGACCACCTGCAAACAGCGCTGAACAACCTGGAGACCCCAAGGGACCAGCTGGGAGGTCGCAGTCCCACAGTCCTAGCTGAGCACTGCATCATCTGGACTGTTGCCATGGAGACCACAGGTTGTCGAGTTGTGTGTCCCCCCACCCCCCGCGTGAGCAGGTGTTTGCAGGAAACAGAAGAGGAGAAACAGGGTCCGTGATTCCAAGGGTTTGGAGAAGGTCTCTTGGCAGAGTTGAGGAAAAGCCAAGCCAGAGGACCACGTCGGGGAGATCCCTGCTCTGGAGAAAAGCTACTATCCCCTCTCTGCAACCCCGTGAGTCCTGCTGTCAGGGACAGCCCCTCTTGCTGAGTACGTGTTGCCAGGAAGAAACACAGACCCTTCTAGCTTTGGACCCTGCTGGAAATCCTGCCATTGCAAAGTCTAGACCCGTTTTTTGTTTTTTTGGATTTTGTTTTTGTTTTTGGTTTCAGGTTGTTTTTTTTTTTCTTGGTCTTTTAAAAGGATGGACTTTGAAGGTAACTCTCATCCAGAGTGGGCCACCAAGTTTTGCAGAAACCATGCCTGACCAAGTGAGTTGCCTGCTTGTCACACCTGAGGAGCCCAGCATTCTGTGTTTGACTCTGTCAAAGGCTATCGCTGTCCTGTACACACTTGGTCTCCTTTATAAGGGATGGTCACACACGGGACCCTTCTGCTCCGATTGGCCCCAGGGGTTAGGATATGGGTCTCCCCAAATTCCATTCCGGAAGCTCCGACTTAGGCACAGGGGCCACCCCACTCTAAAGAACAAAAGGCAAGACTTTCAGGAAATGGTCCAAAAGGAGGTAAATAATTAGGAGGTCACCCTCAAGAGTTACCCATTAACAACATTAACTTGGAGTCCCCCGTGATGGTGAAGAACAACAAAAACAAACAAACAAAAAAAGAATCAGTAAAATCCAAATGTCCTTGGGTAGATAGAGCTCTTATTCAGTGACATCGGGTCTGTGAATTTGCAAACTTCCACTAGTTCAGGGATTTGCAAAGGTTTGGGCTGAATTTCTTTGGTTTAAAAAAAAATGTAATTTATATACATGCCACTCTGATTCTCACCTACCAAAGCATGATAATGGAGACCCCCCCAACATATTACTCTGGTGGGCATCAGTCACGTCTGCGAATTCCTGCATCCAAACCCTGTTCTTATTTCTGTGAGGCTACCCCTGAGCTCCCACACTGAACAGAGCCAAAATGTGAAGATTCTCTCTCTACGCACCCCCCCCAACCTTGGCAGCTAAGGTGCAGGCAAGGGACCCACACTCGGGCAGTCAGAAATCCCTCTTAGGTCATTGCATTCCCAGCAAGCATCAAGACAGAAGGAATTTTTAGAGTTCACAGGCGATGACACCCTAAAAATCTGGAAGACTCTGATTTCTGTAAACTCCCCCAGCTGGCTCTGAGTCATCAGTCTCACCATCCTTTTCTTTTGTGCAACGGTCAGGATGAAGCTTTCCCTGCCATCTCTGCATATATATTTACTGTTCTTGCAAGTGCATCTGTGGTCATAGTGCTCTATTGACCTTTCCTTCCCTTGTAAGTTTCCAGTCAGGCAACCTCACTCGCAGTGTATTATGTTACTGTGTTCACTGTTTCCTCAGAGTCTGGGCTTGAATAAGACCTCAGGCACATTAGCTTGTTGCATGCCATTCTCCCATCAAGGCACAGTCATTGTATCATAACAAGGGACGGTGTAACATTCTTTATTGTCTATTGCAGCATCGAGACTGTATTTGTGCATATTGTGGGTTTAGGGTCTTTCCCGCACAACATCCATATGTGTGATACACAACATGGTGTGAGTCAGTGTTCAATGTTGCCCCTAAAACTCAATCTCCTACCCCTTCTCGAGGTTTTCTGGAAGTTTCCTGACATAGCAATGCAAGCAGTTGTGTCAATCGGCTACCATTTGAAGCCAGTTATCTGTGTGAGTCAAGACCTGGCTGGCACACAGCAAATCCTAAGTGAAAATTCCCAGATAAATTGGACGTGCAGGCTAGGAGACGCCCACAGCTGGCCTGGTGAAGCCCCATTTCTCAAGAAATTTAGGTTCCACTAAAACTCTTCACTGTTCTTTGTGGTTGACGCTCTATTGTACAAATAGGAACTTAGAAAATAAATGTATGTGAATGCAATCACAGTATGCTTTTTGATATGTTGGGGGAATCCACACTAGATCTAATCTGGAAAAATAATCTAGGAGTGCCTGGGTAGCTCAGGTGGTTAAATATCTGGTTCGTGATTTCACCTCAAGTCATGATCTCAGGGTCACAGGATCAAGCCCCATATTGGACTCTGTGCTCAGTGGGAAGTCTGCTTGAGATTCTCTCTCTCCTCCTCTGCCACTTCCCTCACTCGTGCATGCCCTCTTTCTCTCAAATTAATAAATCTTTTTTTTTTTAAAGGGAAAAATAATCTATCTGGTAAAAAAAAAAAAAACAAAGAAAGAAAGAAAGAAAACAAACATTGTAAAAACTGCTTCCATGGTTGCCTGAAGTTTTCTAGGGCTGCATTATTTTTTTAAGGGGTAGCATCAGATCTCATGGCCAATAAAATACAAAACACACAACTTTCTTTTATCCCAGTGGATCCCAGTGACTGATGGAGATGGTGAAATGGTTTATCTGGAATAAAATAATAAATAACAGCTCTTCTGTGTTCCAGGCACTGTGCACAATCTTTCGTACTCATTAATTCGTGGAATCTTCCCAACCACCAAGGTTTGGCACTGTGGGTCCACAACACCTTATCCAAAACCTCCAGGTCAGATGCACTTCAGAATTCAGAGTTTGGGGTACACTTGGGTGGCTCAGTTGGAAGAGCATGTGACTCTTGATCTTAGGGTTGTGTGTTCGAGCCCCACATTGGGTGTAGGGAATAGTTAAAAAAAAAAAAGAATTCAGAAAGTTTGGGATCTCAGAAAACTGGTACAGTAACTATATTTTATACCGTGTAATTCACCCCATGGACAGGTTTGGGTAATTCCCATAATCAAGCCCATTAGTATTCTTTAGGGAAGTAGGATATTGACATGAAAGGAAATAAATTCAGACTATAAAGAGCCTCATATTAGTCTAGATCTTGCCTCTAAATTTTTTTCCCTCACTTTTCTGGAGGGACGGGGTGATGCAAAGCTTTCTTAGTTGAATTTCATAAAAGATAAGCGATTATGAGACGTACTACCATGACGATCTTCATCTCACTCTATGGATAAGGAAAAGGAAGCTCAGAAAGGTTAAGTGGCCTGCCTAAAACCACACAGGAAAGCTCAAGAAGGACCGAAGTCCCAGGCTATCTGAGGACAGTCTGCGTTCCTTCAACAGTCCTCGGTGAGGGCCAGGGATTCTGAAGGAAGGCCGGGAACCTCTGAGAGGCCAACCTATATGTGATTCCCATAGGGCTGACGCTGGTGATTCTCCATGGGTTCCCAGATTGCCTCTCTGTGCTTCTCCACCCTGCTCCGCACCCCGGGAGGCCACCTCCGTGCACTGCATTACCGAAGCGCCTTTGCCGGATGACTTCCGGTCTGGATCAGCCAATGGGAGGCAGCGGCAGGAATCAGAGGGCGGAAGGAGAGAGAGGTCCGGGTATTTCTTCTCTGCGCTTGGGCTGCTGGGCTCCCTTTGCTTTCTGGCGACTGCTGGATCCCTCTACAATGACAAATCAGTCTGCTTAGTCACTCCTCTGCTTACTCCATCCCCCTCAGAAGAAAGTTCAACATCTGTAGAGCCCATCAACCCCTGCCTGCCTCAGCACCTCACGACACCCTAGCCACCCCAAGACATGCTCCTCCAAACCCCAGAACTTTTGTCCCTATTGTTGCCTCTGCCTGGGATGCTCTTACATGACTCCCCCTGATTCTTACCCCTCGAGTCTCTTTTTCCAGGAAGTCTTCTGTGCCACCACAGGATGAATTATTCCCCCCACCTTTTATCTCCTTATAGCTCCCCTGTATTTTTCTGGCTTGGTATGTCTCTCGATGGTGATTAATTTATTTGTAGAGATCTTTGCTTAATGCCACTCCTCCTTGTAAGACTATGAGCTCCCAGGAAGCAGAGCTGGGTCTGTCTCATAGTATCCCTGCGGCCCAACACTGTGCCTGGCACACAGTAGTTACTCCAGAAATTCACATACATGTGTGACTGTTTTAAGGTAGGTTTTATTTTTATTTAGGGATGGTAAGGCCAAGAGATCAGGGGATGACTGTCATTGAAAAGACAGTTTGTTATATTCACAGAGCCCAAGAAAATGGGACATGTTACACCATGGGGGGCCACAGGAGAAAACCATCTGCCATTGGTTAGGAGGCAGAGGGAGGAGAGAGGGAACCCTGGGCAAAAGCTTTTATTATGGTTTCTGTAGGAAGAAATGAGTGAGGCAGGGTAAGCAGACTTATGATTGGCTAGTTTGAATAATTTCAGGGGTGCCTAGGTGGCTCAGTTCGTTAAGCATCTGCCTTCAGCTCAGATCATGATTCTGGTGTCCTGGGATGGAGCCTCGCTTCTGGCTCCCTGCTCAGCAGGGAGCCTGATTCTCCCTCTCCCTCTGCTGCTCCCCCTACTTGTGCCCTCTCTGTGTGTGTGTAAAATAAATGAATAATTTCAGCAGATGCTGGGGTCTAGGGGCTGTCCCTAGTTGTCTGGGACCTGGCCCTGGGGTGCATAGGGCAGGTGGATGGTGTCAGAATGTGAGGGCTGGAGGTGTGGGCTCTGGACTGGTTGGTTTGCATTTGAAGAACATGTTCAAGGGCAGTCAGTGTTTACTTTCTCTTAGAATTGCCTGATTCTGGGAGAGGTAGTCCCTCAAAGATCAGCCAGGCTACAGATACCCATGCATCAGAATATGGAAAATAAAAGACTCGGTCATTACAGTAATAAACAGAACACAGATAAATATCTATGACATGAACAGGGGAACTGAATCTGAAACTCCTCTAATTGGCTTGCTCACTAGGCAACCTGCCAAATAAAGCAGCAGAGGCCTCTGCCTGGTGTATGGAGGTTTGGAGGTGAAGAGTGGTGTTGGACGTGTGGCCTGGGTTCAAATCCTGACTCCTCCACTTCCCTAAGGCACAATGAGCCTGGGCGAGCCATTGAGCCTGTGTCTCCTTGCTGATTTGTAAAACGGGAATAACAGTAACCTATTTCACCAGCTGTGGGGAGGAGTATCCCCATTCTGACATATGAATAATGTGGCACAATGGCTAATAGGAAGGCAGACATTAAGCGTTGGCCACTGGGTCCTGGGTCCAGCTGATTGTGTTTTGCATGGACAAAGAGCATGTTAGCCTGGTTTTAGATCTCACATTCCTGAACTAAACGTGGGCCCAGCTTCCTCAGAAGACAGTATGTTCTCTGTGTTCTGACAAAGGGCTGTCTTGGAACCTGGGCAAAGCGGTGAGTACCCCCCTTGGGAGATAGCATCCAACCTGGGCCTGAGCATCAACAGGGTACACGATGGAAAGAGCACCCAAGGACTCAGAGCTTCACTGACAGACCTGGGTTCAAGTCTTGACTCTGCCACCAGCTGGTGGTGTGCTCTCAGGGAGGTGATTCCACCTTTCTGACCTGTTTCCTCATCTGTAAAGCCGGACTAACACATCCCATGCCACAGTTTCTTTGCAGCAAAGTGAGGGTATACCGTGCATTATAAACATGGGCTCTGGAGGGGCACCTGGGTGGCTCAGTTTGTTAAGTGCATGACTTCAGCTCAGGTCATGATCTCAGGGTCCTTTGATCAAGCCCCCCCTACCCCCCCACCCCCGCATTGGCACTGGGCTTCCAGCTCAGCAGGAAGTCGGCTTCTCTTTCTTCCTCTGCCCCTCCTCCCCACTGGTGCACACGCACACGCTCTCTTTCTTTCTCTCAAATAAATAAAGATT